CAGCCCCCCCAGGACCCCCCCCAGCCCCCGTACATTGATGGCGAAGCCGGCAGGGGGGTCGAAGTCGGCGGGGGGGCGGGTGAGGCTGCGGTACTGCTGGTACATGTCGTCCCCAATGTCCGACAGCAGCTGGCTCACCTCGCTGGGCGCCGCGCTCTTGGGGTCCCCCTTGTCACCTGAGGGGGGACATGGTGCTCAGGGGGGGACAGGGGGCACCCCCAGAGGGGCTGAGGATGCCTGGGGGATGGGGCACCCTAACTGCTCCCTACAGGGACACCCCAATTCCCATACATGAACACCCCAATCTCTTCTCTATATAAACACCCCAATTCCTTCCCTATATGGATACCCCAATTCCCCGCATATGAAGACCCCAAATCCTTTTCCACATCCACCTCACTCTCTGGGGACACCCCAATTTCCTGGGGGGTGTCTGCTCCCATCATGAGAGTCCCCCAAGTCCCTCAAACCCTTGTCAGAGGCGCATGGCCTTGAACAGAACACCCCAATTCCAGTTCCATGAGCTTCCCACTCCTCCCTCTTCCCCCCACCTCCCCGGGGGAAAGGTCCCCCAGCGCCGCGCTCTTGGGGTCCCCCTTGTCACCTGCAAGGGGACATGGTGCTCAGGGGACAGGGGGCACCCCCAGAGGGGCTGAGGATGCCTGGGGGATGGGGCACCCTAACTGCTCCCTAATACAGACACCCCAATTCCATCCCTATACAGACACCCCGATTCTCCCTATATGGACACCCCAATTCCCCCTATGTGAACACCCCAATTCCATCCCTAGATGGATACCCCAATCCCTTCCCTACTGGAACACCCCAATCCCATCCCTATGTGGACAGCCCAATCCCTTCCCCATATGGAGACCCCCAAATCTTTTTCCCCATCTACGTCACTCCCTGGGGACACCCAATTTCCTTGTGTGCCCCCTAATCCTAGCCGCCCTGTGCTCCCCATCAAACCTCCCCAGGGGTGTCTGCCCCCATCACAAGGGTCCCCCAAGCCTCCCAAACCCTTGTCAGAGGCCCAGGACATTGCACAGGACACCCCAATTCCTGTTCCATGTGCATCCCACTCCTCCCTCTGCACCCCAAACTTCTCTGGGCGCGTCTCCCCCAAGTCCCCCAAGGGACACCCACAGGGGCATGGTGGGCACTCAGGACATTGCACAGGACACCCCAATTCCTGCTCCATGTCCACCCCACTCCTCCCTCTGCTCCCCCCGAGCCCCCCCAGCCCCCTGAGCCCCCCGTACCCTCGTCGGGGGCATGGTAGGCGGCCAGGGCGTTGAGCATGTCGTAGATGACGTCGCGGATGGGCTCGGGGATGGGCGGCAGCGCGGCCGCCTTGGCCGGCGTGGTCTTCACCAGCTGCACCGCGTTGGGCCCCTTGATCCGCAGGTTCTCGAACTCGTCGTCAGAGGCTGGGAAATTGGGGGGAAACGGGGGGAAATGGGGGGGTCAGGGATATGGAGGATCCTCAGCGGTGTCAGGTTGGGGATGAGATGAGATGGGATGCTGGTTTTTGAGGGGTGGAGGCACCTCTGGGACCCCCATTCTGAGAGACCCCTGTTCTGAGGATAAGAGGACTCCTGGGACCCCTTTTTTGGGGAGAGAAGCAGACCTGGGACCCCAATTCTGAGGGTGAAGTGACCCCATTTTTGGGGGATAAAGGCACCCATAGGACCCCTGTTCTGAGAGACCCTTGGAACCCCATTTTTTGGGGATAGAAGCACCAAGGGACCCCCTCCAGGAATCCTCCCAGGACCCCATTACAGATGCCAGGGACTCCGAGGATTCCCCCCATGTCCCCGTCCCCCCTCCAGGATCCCCTCTCCACATCCCAGCCCACCCTCCAAGAGCCCCCCCATGTCCCAGGCTCCACTCCAGGGGCCTGTTCCAGGTACCAAGACCCTCCCCAGGAACACCCCCGTGGTCTCACCGGTGCCGGAGCCGCGCGGCGCGGGCAGGGCGATGCGGATGCAGCCAGCCCCAAATCCCCCCTCCCCAGCCCTCACCTTCTCCATGGTGTGCCGCAGCGTGCAGGGGTCCTCGATGATGTGCCGGAAGAGCAGCGTGACCAGCGGGGTGAAGCCGGTGAAGCCGGAGCTCTGCGTGAGCGCCAGGATGGTGCGGGTGGAGCGCAGCTCGGCGAACAGCAGCGCGTGCTTGTGCTGCCGCGTCAGGCGCAGGCACAGGCGCAGCGTGGCGTGCAGCGTGTCGGGGTCCACCGGCACCCCCAGCATGCTGACACACGCCCGCAGCACGGCCGGCACCGCCTCCTCCGCCAGGCCCCGCACCGGAGCCTCGGCGTCGGCGTCCTCCCGCGGCTCCTCGGGGGTCGGCGTGGGGCACGGAGGGGATGGGCAGGGGGCGGTGGGAGTGGTGGTGGTGCTGGTGGTGGTGGTGGTGGTAGAGGGGGGGTCTTCATCTGTAGAAGGGGGGTCTGCGGCTGTGGAGATGAGGAAAGGGGTGAGGAGGGTGGTTTTTGGGGAGTGGGTACGGCTGGGGGGTCTTGGGCATTCAGTTGTGGCTCCTGTGAGCCCCCATGACCATTCTGATCCCAACATGACCCCTGTGACCCCCCCATGACCATTCTGACCCCCCCATGCCCCCTGTAACCATTCTGACCCCCCATGACCTTCTGACCCCCCCCATGGCCATTCTGACCCCCCTGTGGCCTCCCCATGGCCTCTATGACCTGACACAACCATTCTGACCTCCCTCACGACCCCCCAGACCCCTCCCCATCACCTCTCAGACCACCCCAAAACCCCTCAGACTCCTCTATAACTCCTCAGACCTCTCCCCACCACCCCTCAGACCCCTCAAACACTCCCAAAACCTCCTTGCCCCCCCCCAAAACCCCTCAGACTCCCCGCATGACCTCTCAGACCCCCCACCCTCATACCGGGGGTCTCATCCTTGTTCTTCCCCTCAGGGTCCTCGGCCCCCCCCTCGTCGCGGCCCTTCCCGGCCCGGGGGGGTCTCAGCAGCGTCAGCATCACCGGGCGCCGGTTCCCGGTCTCCTCGTTCACCTGGGGGTGACAGGGGTGACATGGGGCCCCTCCCCACGAGTGACACCAGGGCGTGTCCCTGTCCCATGATGCAGTATCAGAGGGTGTCCCCTGCCGTGGGTGTCACTGGGGCTGTGATCCCCTGGGCTGGGTGGCCCCAGGGGAACTGTCCCCTACCCTTAGGGGTGTGTCCCTGTGCCCTGGATGGCCCCAGGTTGTGTCCCCATGCCCTGGGGCTGTGTCCCTGTGCCCTGGCTGACCCCAGGCTGTGTCCCCATGCCCCTCAGCCCCTCACCTGCACCATGGTGGTGAACTGCACGGTGCAGTGCCATGTCCCAGTGCCCCAGGGCTGTGTCCCTGTGCCCTGGCTGACCCCAGGCTGTGTCCCCATGCCCCCCAGCCCCTCCTCAGCCCCTCACCTGCACCATGGTGGTGAACTGCATGGTGCCTTGGGATGTCCCCCCCCTCTGGGGCTGTGTCCCCACACCCCAGGGCTGTGTCCCCACACCCCTGGCTGACCCCAGGCTGTGTCCCCAGCCCCTCACCTGCACCATGGTGGTGAACTGCACGGTGTAGCGCCGCCGGCCGGCCGTGAAGCGCACGCTGGGCTCCCCGGCGCGCCAGGCCGCGTCGATGGTGCTGTTGTTGCTGGCGCTGTAGCTGCACCAGCGGCCCGAGCGGTCGTCGAACCAGCGCCAGTTGTTGCCAGTGGCCTGCAGGTACTGGGGGGGCACATGGGGAGGGGGGGTCAGCGGCCTGGAGCTCCTTGCGTGCCCCCCAAACCCCAGTCAGGGCAGCGCTGGGTGTGGTGAGGTCACTGTGCCCATCGCAGGGACATCCTGCATCCCTCAGGACTCTGCGTGTCACCCCTGACCCTTCATGTCACCCCCTGTGTCCCCCAGGACCCCAAGGCCCCTCCCCAGGACCCCGTGTGTCACTCCCTGTGTCCCCCAGGACTCTCTGTGTGACCCCGTGTCCCCCAAGACTCTGGGTGTCACCCCCTGTGTGCCTCAGGACCCCAAGGGCCCTCCCTAGCGCTCTGTGAGTCACCCACTGTGGCACCTTGGCTGCTCCACTCCCATCCCAGCCCCACCACGTGTCCCCAGGAGCCCCCCATGTCCCCTCCCAGCCCTCCTAAACCCCCCCAGGACCCCTGAAATTCCCCCCCAGCCCCCCCACCTTGTTCATCTGCGCGCGGCGCTTGGAGGACACGGCCGTCTTCTCATAGAAATCAATCAGCAGCAGCACAGGGGTGATCCACCTTTTTGGGGGGCAGAAGAGCCAGGGGGGCGCGGGGGTGGGTTTGGGGGGGGTTGGGGGGGGGTGGGGGGGGGGTCCCGCCTTACTTGGGGGTCTGCACCTCCTTGTGCTCCTTGGCAGCCTGCAGGCAGGGCTGCACCACCTCCAGCAGCTTGATCAGCACGTCCAGCACGCAGCTGGACTCCACCACACGGGCACAGGGCAGCTTCAGCTCCTGGGGCACCCCAAAAACATCAGCACCCCAAAAAACATCCCAAACAACCCCAAAGACCCGACCAAAATATCCAGAAACAGCCCTGAAATATCCACCGAAACAGCCCCAAACCAGCACGCAGCTGGACTCCTCCAAGGGGGCACAGCGTAGCTCAGCTCCTGGGGCACCCCAAAAACCATCCTAAACACCCCCAAAATACCCTCAAAATACCCCAAAACCACCCCAAACCTCGGGATTCTTGGAAAATGATCTACCTCTGGAAAACACCTGGCATCTTTTGTGAGGGATGCGAGGCCCAGAGACCCCGGGGTGTTCCTCCCAGGTTTTGGGGTGCCTCCCCAGGTTTTGTGCCACCCCTTCCAGCTTTTGGGGTCACTCCCCAGATTCTGGGATCCCCCCTGAAGTTTTGGGTTTCCTCCCACCCTAGCTTTTTGGGGGCCCCCCCAGGTTTTCTGGACACTCCCCCAGGTTTTGGGTTACCACCCCCAAGTTTTATGGTCACTCCCCCAGGTTTGGGGTCACCCCCCCAGGTTTTGGGGTACCTCGAAGAGCAGGGTGAGCAGCAGGATGCGCGTGGCCAGGTTGGAGGCCTGGGGCAGGGTGGCCATTTGGCTGATCCACTCCGACACCGTCTTGGTGTCGCTGGTGGTCAGCGGCACGGCCGCCTTGATCAGGACATCGGCCGCCTCCCACACCTGGGGGACAGGGGTCAGTGGGTCACTGGGGGTCAGGATGGTCAGTGGGGTGCAGGATGGCCACTGGGGTTCAGGGGTCACTGGGGGTCAACGGGGTTCAGGTGTCAGTGGGGGTCAGGATGGTCACTGGGGTTCAGGGGTCAGTGGTCAGCGGGGTTCAGGGGTCACTGAGGGTCAGGATGGTCAGTGGGGATCAGCAGGGTTCAGGGGTCACTGAGGGTCAGGGGTCATTGGGGCTCAGTGGGTCAGTGGGGTTCAGGATGGTCATTGGGGTTCAGGGGTCAGGGGGGATCATTGGGGTTCAGGGGTCATTGGGGCTCAGTGGGTCAGTGGGGTTCAGGATGGTCATTGGGGTTCAGGGGTCATCATTGGCAGGGTGGCCATTTGGCTGATCCACTCTGACACCGTCTTGGTGTCGCTGGTGGTCAGCGGCACGGCCGCCTTGATCAGGACATCGGCCGCCTCCCACACCTGGGGGACAGGGGTCAGTGGGTCACTGGGGGTCAGGATGGTCAGTGGGGGTCAGCAGGGTTCAGGGGTCACTGGGGTTCAGGGGTCATTGGGGCTCAGTGGGTCAGTGGGGTTCAGGATGGTCATTGGGGTTCAGGGGTCAGTGAGGGTCAGGATGGTCAGTGGGGGTCAGCAGGGTTCAGGGGTCACTGAGGGTCAGGGGTCATTGGGGCTCAGTGGGTCAGTGGGGTTCAGGATGGTCATTGGGGTTCAGGGGTCAGGGGGGATCATTGGGGTTCAGGGGTCATTGGGGCTCAGTGGGGCTTAGTGGGGGTCAGAGTGGTCAGGGGTCAGTGGGGCACCTGGCACACTTGGGGGCTCAGGGGGTCCCAGGGCTGGTTCAGGGTGGGTTTAGGGCACGTTTAGGGGTCTCAGGGTGTGTTCAGGGCTCCATACCTGCTGCACCCCCTGTTTGAGCACCGAGTCCCGGTAGGCCGGGCCATTGCAGCACACAGCCATCATTGGGGTCAGGGGTATTGGGAGGGGTTCAGGGCAGGTTCAGGGGTCTCAGGAGGAGTTCAGGATGAGTTTAGGGTGGGTTTAGGGGATCTGACCTGCAGGCCATAAGTACTGCACCCCCTGTTTGAGCACCGACTCCTTGGCAGGCCGAGCCATTGTGGCGCACGGCCATTACTGGGGTCAGGGGGCTCGGGGTTGATTTGGGGGTCTCCAGGTGGGTTTGGGACAGGTTTGGGGCAGGGTTAGGCTGGGTTTAGGGTGTGTTCAGGGCTCCATACCTGCTGCACCACCTGTTTGAGCACGCTGTCCCGGTAGGCCGGGCCATTGCGGCACACGGCCATCATTGGGGTCAGGGGGCTCGGGGTTGGTTTGGGGGTCTCAAGGTGGGTTTGGGACAGGTTTGGGGCAGGGTTAGGCTGGGTTTAGGGTTTGTTCAGGGCTCCATACCTGCTGCACCACCTGTTTGAGCACGCTGTCCCGGTAGGCCGGGCCGTTGCAGCACACAGCCATCATTGGGGTCAGGGGGCTTGGGGTTGGTTTGGGGGTCTCGAGGTGGGTTTGGGGCAGGTTTGGGGCAGGGTTAGGCTGGGTTTAGGGTGTGTTCAGGGCTCCATACCTGCTGCACCACCTGTTTGAGCACGCTGTCCCGGTAGGCCGGGCCATTGCGGCACACGGCCATCATTGGGATCAGGGGGCTCGGGGTTGATTTGGGGGTCTCGAGGTGGGTTTAGGGCAGGTTTAGGGGTGTCAGGGCTGGTTCAGGGTGGGTTTGGGGCAGGTTTAGGGAGTGTTCAGGGCTCCATACCTGCTGCACCACCTGTTTGAGCACGCTGTCCCGGTAGGCCGGGCCATTGCAGCACACAGCCATCATTGGGGTCAGGGGTCTCGGGGTTGGTTTGGGGGTCTCAAGGTGGGTTTGGGGCAGGGTTAGGCTGGGTTTAGGGTGTGTTCAGGGCTCCATACCTGCTGCACCACCTGTTTGAGCACGCTGTCCCGGTAGGCTGGGCCATTGCAGCACACAGCCATCATTGGGGTCAGGGGGCTTGGGGTTGGTTTGGGGGTCTTGAGGTGGGTTTGGGACAGGTTTGGGGCAGGGTTAGGCTGGGTTTAGGGTGTGTTCAGGGCTCCATACCTGCTGCACCACCTGTTTGAGCACGCTGTCCCGGTAGGCCGGGCCGTTGCGGCGCACGGCCGTCATCAGCAGGTCGCAGACGCGGTACACGGTGTCGGGCAGCTCGTCCAGCAGCTGCGAGCAGCCCGGCAGCATGGAGTCCGTGAAGGCCCCGAGCTCGGCCGCCTCCAGCGGCTCGGCCCCCTCGAACTTCTCCAGGCACTTGGCCTCCTCCTCCTCCTGCCGCTCCCGCGCCCGCCGCTCCTCCTCCTCCTTGCGGCACGCGGCCTCCTGGGGGGTAAATGGGGTGAGGAGGGGGGATTTGGGGGAGAAATGGGGTTTGGGGCAAGGAAATGGAGGTTTGGGACAGAGAAATGGAGGAGAAATGGGAGTTTGGGGGGACTCCTTGCGGCACGCGGCCTCCTGGGGGGTAAATGGGGTGAGGAGGGGGGATTCGGGGGAGAAATGGGGTTTGGGGCAGGGAAATAGGGGAGAAATGGGGGTTTGGGGGGAGAAATGGGGCTTGGGGCAGGGAAATGGGGCATGGGGCAGGGAAATGAGGGAGAAATGGGGGTTTGGGGGACAGGAAATGGCATTTTGGGGCAGGGAAATGGGGGTTTGGGGCAGGGAAATGGGAGAGAAATGGGGGTTTGGGGGGAGAAATGGCATTTTGGGGCAGGGAAATGGGGTTTAGGACAGGGAAATGTTGTTTTTGGGACAGGAAATGGGGTTTTTGGGGGTCCCACCTCTGGGGACTCGGCGCGCTGCTCCATGGGGATGTCCTGGCCCAGGGACATGGCGATGGCTCTCATCATCTGATCCTCCTCCGACATGCTCAGGTCCTGGGGGGCAGCGTCAGGGGCTGCAGGGACCCCCAGAGCAGCCCAAAATCCCTCCCAGAGCATCCCAAATCCACAAGGAACCCCAAAAACCACCAAAAAATCCACCAGGAACCCCTACACACCTACCCAAAGCACCCCAAAATTCCCCCCAGAGCACCCCAAAGACCACCAGGACCTCCTAAAATCACCCAACAACCTCAAAATCTCCCAGGAGCCGACCCCCAAAATATCCCAAAGCCCCCCAGGAACCCACAAAACACACTCAGGACCCCCCCAAACCCTGCCAAGTCCCCCCTATTTCCCCTTCCCCCACTGCAGGACCCCCCAACTCCTCCGTGATCCCCCAAACCTCCCCATTTCCCCTTCCCCTGCCCCAGGTCCCCCCGGTGTGCCCCCCCAGCCCCACTGACCCGTGCTGAGCCCCCCATGAGCGGGGGTGGGTGGGTGAGCAGGTACTCCGTGGCCTGCTCCATGGTGTTGGTGTTGAGCAGCGCCTCCATGGCGTGTTCCCGGGAGAAACCCATGTCCATCAGCTGGGGGGGCACACACATTTCCCTCTCATGCCCACTTTTCCCTCCCACCCTTCAGTTTTCTGTCCCACACCTCAGTTTTTGGTTTTCCATCCTTCAGTTTTCGAGCTCCCACCTCCATTTTTCTGTCCCACCCCAATTTCTCCATCCCACTCCCCATTTCTTCTGTCCCATCCCTCAGTTTTCTGTCCCACCCCTCAGTTTTCTGTCCCACCCCTCAGTTTTAAGAACAATCACACGTATCTGTATCTGTACATCTCAGTAACAGTTTATAGGACATGGCTAAAGAGAGAATCCTACAAATCAGAAAAACACTCAGCTGTGATGTTGTGGCACAAAGGTCTCCCCTTCCCTGGGGGCAGAGGAGGGGAGGTGACTTCCAGGAGTTGTTTCATTCACAGGCTGCTCAGAACAGACCATGGCACTTCCAGCACCTACAACTCAATTCTTATTGCCCCATAAAAAAAAAAAATAATACCCCTCTCCAAGGGGAAAGCTGATAAAAATTCATTCTGATTTTTCTGCATTATTTATGAGTCATATCAGCAGAAAGTTACACTTGTTAGGAAGAGCTTCATCTTAAAAACCTGTAAGATTTTTAAACTTTTGAGGAGCATTCAAAGACTTCAGGTGCTACCAAGAATGCTCTTCTTTGGTGAGAAATTTTCACTTTCCTATGAAGATTATTCCTAACAGAAAATTTTTAAGAACTCTGAAAAGCAACAATATGCTTTCAGATTATTTACCTGCCTATTTCTGAATTAAATAAAAAGAAGGGTTTTTCTGAGTTGAAATAACTTATTCTGTACCTTATATTTGACTTTCAGTGGTCACTACAGTAGCTGAAACTTTTGGTGGAAGCTGATGAATGTATTAAAGTTATGATATTATATTTTGGATCCCCTTGGCACAGGAATTAGGAAGTGCAACAGTGTTCCAGGCTGACAAACACAAGTTAAATCAGGCCTGTCCTTCTTCACTCCTGAATGCCCAAGGAAACAGCACAGCCCAGGAGAGCCATTTACAGAGTAGAAGAACAGAAAGAAGCACAGGGCTCCACCTCTGTCTCTGGAAGATTTCACCCCCAAACACCTCGGAGCACTCACCCTGCTCACAGCACCTCCATGTCGGCGTGGACGGATCCGGGCGCTGAAAACCAAAGCAAGGCCCTGCTGACAACATCCAAAACTCATCTGCCAAAGCAGCAAAACCACAGCCAGGCTCCAGACTACCCCAAAAACACAAAAGCAGCCTGCTCCAGGTATCCAGTGTGCTCAGCTGGGGAGCAGAGCCGGGGGAGCGCCGAGGAACCGCGGCCGCGCCGAGTTTGCTCCATCTGAAATTAGGAACAGGGAGAAACTGGCCAGGCAACAACTCCTGACTCCAGAGCTGCTAAAGTGGGATGACACACAGGCAGTAATTACACACTGGAGTGTTACTAAAGCTGGGTTGCTCACAGGTGACTTCATGGCAGCAGTGGAGTATCTCAGGTGATTGCTGCTCTGCTGCTTGCAAAGGAAAATGGTTGTGCAGCTGCATTTGGGTTGTAAATGACACCTTTGTGTCATGCTCGGTTTATTACATAGCATGAATCTACTCAAGGCAGAAAGCAAAACAAGGAAATGATCCTAAGTGCTCCAGCAAGCAAAAATGGTTTTCCACCCTTCAGTTTTTGAGCTCCCACCCCCATTTTTCTGTCCCACCTCCACTTCTCCATCCCACCCCCATTTTTTTCTCCATCCCACCCCCTATCCCCCATCCCCACACCTGCTGCAGCTGCTGCTGGTTGACGTGGGGCTCCCTGCGGGCACCCCCCTCGTCGCCGCCGGGCTCGTCGGGCGCGGGCCCCTCTCTCTCGCGGCCCAGGCGCTCGCGCAGCAGCGGCTCGGCCCGCAGGATGTGGCACAGGATGGCCAGCATGGACTCGGCCATGCGCCCGCCGTACACCTTCAGCGGCCGCCGCTGCCACAGCTGCTTGATGCAGGCGAACGCAGCCTGGGGACACCGAGGGGACACGGGGATATGGTGGGGAGAGCGTGGGGACACAGTGGGGCCATGTGTTTTGGGGTGGGGGGGAAATGGTGATCACCCCCCAACAACCCCATTCCCCTCCCCAAACACCATTTTTCTCTCCAAACCCCATTTTACCTCCCCAAACCAGATTCCCCTCCCCAAACCGCATTTTCCTCCCCCCAAAACCCATTTTCCCTTCCCAAACCAGACTCCCCTCCCCAAACCCCATTTTTCTCCTCCCAAAACCCATTTCCCCCCAACCCCATTTTCTCTCCTCAAAATCCATTTCCTCCCCAAACCCCATTTTCCCTTTCCAAACCCAATTCTCCTCCACAAACCCCATTTCCCCTCCCAAAACCCATTTTTCCTCCCCAAAACCCATTTTTCTCCCCCAAAAACCCATTTTTCCTCATCAACCCCATTCCCCTCCCCAAACCCCATTTCCCCCCACAAAACTCCATTTCCCCTCCCAAATCACATTTCCCCTCCCAAACCCCATTTCTCCCCATCCCAAACCCCATTTCAAACCCCATCTCCCCCCTCCCCAAACCCCATTTTTCCCCCTGCCCACCTTCTGGGTGACCACGAGGAAGCGCAGGGCGCTGAAGGGGGGGTGTCCATGCGGGGGGGCCTTGGCAGGCAGCGCGTGGGGGGACTCCAGCACCGTGCTGGGGTTCACCATCTTCTCCACCAGCATCAGCCACGCGTCCAGGAACTCGCCAGTGCCATCCGGCAGGTCAGGGTGCTCCAGACCCTCCCCAACTGGCACCTTGCCCCCCATGGACAGTGCCCAGTTAAAGGTCCTGGGGAGGGAAAAGGGATTTGGGGTGTTGGGAGGGACCCCGAGGTCATGGGAGGGACCCCGAGGTCATGGGAGAGACCAGTCAAAGGGTCTGGGGGGGGAAGGGATATAGGGTGCTGGGAGGGACCCCAAGGTCATGGGAGCGTCCCCCCACCCCACAGGAAGGGAGTTGGAGGAATCAGTGTCCAGGGTCAGGGTCGGTGTCCTGGAGCAGGGTCAGTGTCTGTGTCCAGTGCAGGTGTCAATGCCCCAGGGGGGTCCCAGATCAGTGCCAATGTCCAGGGGCATTAGTCTATGTCCATGGCCAGTGTCTGGTCAGTGTCCAGGAGCATTAGTCAGTGTCCAGTCAGTGTCCAGTCAGTGTCCGTCCCCCCACCCCACAGGAAGGGAGTTGGAGGAATCAGTGTCCAGGGTCAGGGTCGGTGTCCTGGAGCAGGGTCAGTGTCTGTGTCCAGTGCAGGTGTCAATGCCCCAGGGGGGTCCCAGATCAGTGCCAATGTCCAGGGGCATTAGTCTATGTCCATGGCCAGTGTCTAGTGTCTGGTCAGTGTCCAGGAGCATTGGTCAGTATCCAGTCAGTGTCCATGGTCAGTGTTCAGGGTCAGTGTCCAGGGTCAGGCTGCAGGGGCATTGGTCAGTGTCCGGTCACCATCCACGATCAATGTCCTGTGTCCATGGTCAGTGTCTGGGCAGTGTCCAGGGTCCATGGTCAGTGTTCAGTGTGCGGTCAGTGTCCGTGGTCAGTGTCCAGCTCACTCGAAGAGGGCGTTGTGGCCGCCGGAGCAGAGGAATTTCTGCAGCATGAGGTGATAGGGGAACTTGCGCTCGTCGAACAGCATGGGCGACGTGAACCCCACCGAGCAGATGAAGAACGTCAGCCTGGGGGCACGGGAGGGGTCAGTGCAGGGCACGGCACTGGGTACTTGACCACAGCCATGGGTACTGACCACAGCACCGGGCCTGGCACTGCTCAAGCTCCACCCCTGGAGGTGGCAGACCCATCCCTGTCCCTCCTGCCCCTGTCCCTTTCATCCCAGCCCCTCCTCTTTCCAAGCCCACCCCATTCCCAGCCACACCCCATTCCCAACCTCTTTCACGCACCTTGCCCCATTCCCACTCCCAGCTCCTCCTGTTCCCCTGCCCTATTCCCAACCCTGCCCATTTCCATCCCTGTTCCCATTCCTTTTCCCAATCCCATTTCCATTTCCAGTCCTGTTTCCATCCCCATTCCTATCCTCACTTCTATTCCCATCTCTGCTCCAATTCCCATCCTCATTCCCATCTCCACTCCCTCTCCTGTTCCCAATCCCGTTCCCATTCCCATCCCATCCCCATTCCTGTACCGCTGTCCCCATGGTCACTGACCAGAAGCGTGGCATTGGGGTGTAGGGGGGTGGTTGCCAGCTCAGCCCCTCGGTCAGCAGACGGGTCAGCGCCGAGGCCGTGCCCTTCCCCAGCCCCATTCCATCCCATTCCCATCCTATCCCATCGTCCCCGCTGTCCCCGTGGTCACTGACCGGAACTGTGGCGTGGGGGTGTAGGGGGGTGGTTGCCAGCTCAACCCCTTGGTCAGCAGGCGGGTCAGCACCGAGGCCGTGCCCTTCCCCAGGCCCATTCCCATCCCATCCCAACCCCATCCCATCCCCATCCCATCCCAACCCAGTTCCTGTTCCCATCCCTGTTCCCATCCCATCCCATCGTCCCCGCTGTCCCCGTGGTCACTGACCGGAACCGTGGCGTGGGGGTGTAGGGGGGCGGTTGCCAGCTCAGCCCCTTGGTCAGCAGCCGGGTCAGCGCGGCTGTGGGGACACGAGGACAGTGAGAGCCCAGCTGGGGACAGAGGGACACAGGGGACAGAGGGATATGGGACAGGCTGGGCCAGCGACCAGCCCAGCTGCAATAAGGCTGTGGGGACATGGGGACAGTGAGAGCTCAGGTGGGGACAGACGGACATGGGGGACAGAGGGACAAGCTCGGCCAGAGCCCAGCCCAGCCACGACGAAGCTGCAGGGACACAGGGACAGCCCCCCTCACCGGAGAGCAGGGGTTTGATCTGTTTGATGCGGGCGGCCATGGCTGGGGTGATCTTGGCCTTGGCTTTGGGGTCGCTGGTGCTGGGCTCGTCCGTCTCCATGGGGGCCAGGGGCTCCCCCTCCAGCCCCATCCCCTCCAGCAGCCCCTGGGCTGGGGGGGGGTCACTGCCTGCCCCCCCCGAGGCGCCTGGGCCCTCTGCCTCGCCCTCTGTGGGAGAGGGGGGTGAGAGAGAGACCCACAGAGACCCCCAAAAGTGACCCTTCCCCCACCCCAAACCTGATATTTCCTAGACAGATCCCCCCAAAACTGACCTTTCCTACGGAGACTCCCTCCCACTATGAGCTGCCCCACAGAGATCCCCCACCCCCAAAATTCATCTTTCCCACAGAAATCCTTTCCGAGACCCCCCACAACCCCAACCTGCCCCAGAGACCCTCCCCAACCCCCCAAAAAGCCCCCCAAGCCCCCATAAATCCTCCCCATAACCCCCATAAATCCCTCCAGATCCCCATAAATCCCCCAAACCCCACAAAATCCCATAAATTCCCCCCCCAAAGCACCCCCAGCCCTACCTGCCCTGCGGCCACCCTGGGGGGGGCTGGGGGCCGTTTTCTCCTCCTTGGGGACGAGTTTCTGCATGTCAGCCTGGCCAAACTCACAGCCTGGGGGGAGGCTGGGGGGGCACGGGGGTGTCACGGGGCTGGGGGCTCCTCCTGGCCATCCCCAGTGCCTCCCAGTACCCCCCAGTAACCTGGTAGGGGGGTACAGGCACTGGGAGCAGCACAGCTGGCTCAGCCCAGTGTCCCCAAACCCTCAGCAGCCTCCTCCCAGTGCCCCCCAAACCCTCACCAGTGGCCCCAGTGTCCTCCCAGTACCTGTTTGGGGTGCACCACACCAGTGAGCAGCACAGCTGGCTCAGCCCAGTGTCCCCCAAAGCTGCACCAGTGCCTCCCAGTGCCCCCCCAGTAACCTGGTAGGGGGGTACAGGCACTGGGAGCAGCACAGTTGGCTCAGCCCAGTGTCCCCCAAACCTTCACCAGTCCCTCCAGTTCCCTCCCAGTGGCCCCCAAGCCCTCAGCAGTGCCTCCCAGTGTCCCCAGTACCTGTTGGGGGTGCAGAGGGACAGCAGCACGGTGCTCTCCCACACCAGGGAGCAGTAGAGCTGGCTCAGCTTGCCCAGCACGCTCAGCCCCAGCTGGGATCCCCACTGGTTCACTGAGATGGCCCTGATCTCGCTCTGGGGGGACAGTGGGACCCCAAAACCCCCTGAGACCCCAAAGCCACTCCCCAAGCCCCTTTCAAAACCCCCAAACCACTTTCCAAGCCCCCCAAACCCCACTCCAAGCCCCGAAGTCCCATTCCAAACCCCCCAAACCCCATCAAAATCCTCCAAACTCCATTCCAACCCCTCAAGCCCCATTCCAACCCAATTCAAACCCCACGCAAACCCCCCCAAACCCCACTCAAACCTCCCCAAACCCCACTCCAAGTCCCCAAGCCCCATTCCAATGCCACAAGCCCCATTCAAACCCCACTCAAACCCCCCCAAAACCCATTCAAACCTCCCCCAAGCTCCATCCAACCCCCCCAGAACCCTCCCAAGCCCCATTAAAACCCAATTAAAACCCTCCAGATTCCATTCCAACCCCCCAAGCGCCATTCAAACTTCCCCAAACCCCACTCCAAACCCCTCAAACCCCTCCAAACTCCATTCCAATGCCCCAAGCCCCATTCAAACCCCACTCAAACCCCCCCAAACCCCACTCAAACCTTCCCAAATCCCACTCCAAGCCCCCAAACCCCATTAAAATCCTCCAAATTCCATTCTAACTCCCCAAGCCCCATTCAAACCCCACTCAAACCCCCCCAAACCCCACTCAAACACCCCCAAACCCCACTCAAACCTTCCCAAATCCCACTCCAAGCCCCCAAACCCCATTAAAATCCTCCAAATTCCATTCCAACTCCCCAAGCCCCATTCAAACCCCACTCAAACCCCCCCAAACCCCACTCAACCCCCCCCGTTACCTGTCCCACCCTGCAGGTGTGCACGAACATCATGATGAAGGCGTGGGCGGCGGTCAGCGCGTGCAGCAGGGGGGTGGCCTGGGCTGAGAGCGTGGCGTCGGGCACGGCCCCGGCCCCGGCCAGCTCCCGCAGCAGCACCGAGCCCCCCGGGGCCTCGATGGGCCGGTGCAGCGGCTCCAGTGCCGACAGCACGGCCTCCAGCTGCACCAGCCCCTCCTGCAGCACCTTGGGCTCGTGGGAGAGAGTCTGGGGGGACAGAGAGGGGACATCGGGGTCACTGAACACGCCTGGGGGTCACTGAACCCTGCTGGGGGTCACTGAATACGGCTGGGGGGTCACTGAACCCTCCTGCAGCACTTTGGGCTCATGGGAGAGAGTCTGGGGGGACAGAGAGGGGACATCGGGGTCACTGAACACGCCTGGGGGTCACTGAACCCTCCTGCAGCACCTCCAGGTTGTGGGACAGTGACTGGGGACACAGAGAGGGGACATCGGGGTCACTGAACACGCCTGGGGGTCACTGAACCCTCCTGCAGCACTTTGGGCTTGTGGGAAAGAGGCTGGGGGGACAGAGAGGGGACATCGGGGTCACTGAACACGCCTGGGGGTCACTGAACCCTCCTGGAGCACTTTGGGCTTGTGGGAGAGAGTCTGGGGAGACAGAAAGGGGACATCGGGGTCACTGAACCCTTCTGGGGGTCACTGAACCCTGCTGGGGGATCACTGAACCCTCCTGGAGCACCTTGGGCTCGTGGGAGAGAGTCTGGGGTCATACAAAAGGGACATCTGGGTCACTGAGGTGTCACTGAACCCTTTAGGGGTTCACTGTTCATTTGTGAAACACTTTGAGCTCATGGGAGAGAGTCTGAGGGGACACAGAGAGGGGACAATGGGGTTGCTGAGGAGTCACTGAACCCTCCTGCAGCACCTTGGGCTTGTGGGACAGTGTCTGGGGACACAGAGGGGTCACTAAACCCTCCTGGAGCACCCTGAGCTCATGGGAAAGAGTCTGAGAGGACAAAGAGGGAACATCAGGGTCACTGAACTCTCCTGGAACACTTTGGGCTCATGGGACAGTGACTGGGGACACAGAGAAGGGACAGAAAGTGTCACCAGGGTCCATTCCAGGGTGGATTTGCAGCCCCCTCAGGACAGATTTAGCCCTCCCAGGATGGATTTGCAGACCCCCAGCTGTACCATGATGGATTTGCAACCCCCCAGGATGGATTTTCAGATGCCCAGGATGGATTTGCAGCCCCCCAGGAGGAATTTGCACCCCCCCAGCTGTACCAGGATGGATTTGCAGACCCCCAGGAGGAATGTGCACCCCCCCAGCCGTACCAGGATGGATTTGCAGACCCCAGCCACGGCCTGGCAGGCTGCAGAGGTGGGGAAGTCCACGGGCAGGTTGGGCAGCCCCAGGATGGTGACGAGCGGCCGCAGCCCCCGCTGGGCCACAAACTCCTGGCAGTGATCATCAGTGGTGTTGTTGCTCAGGATGGACTCCACGAACTTCATCTGGGACAAAAGGGGTCAGGGGGGCTCTGAACCTCCTCTGAGGGGGGGGTCAGGACAGTGGGGACCCCCCAGGGACGGCACTGGGCCTCACCACATTGAGGATGTAGTCCATGAGCGGGATGGGGATGCGTTCCTCCGTGCCTACCACACTGCAAGAACAGAGAGAGTGGTGAGAGAGGTGTGACCCCCACCCCAGGAAGCAAAATCAGAGTTAACGAGGCCAGGAGAGACCTCTGAGACCACTCTGTGACCTTGTCATCACCTTGTCACCAAGTGTCACACCTAGGCTTGGCTTTATCACCTCCCTGCCAGACCCATTCTGGGGAGTTTTTGCAGATTTCCAGCCTAAATTTCCCCCCAGTCCCTCTTCTCCAGGCTGAACCCCTTCCCCAGCTGGCTCAGTATCCCCCAGACCCTTCCCTAGCTGACTCAGGATCCCCCAGACCCTTCCCCAGCTACCTCAGGACCCTCTCCACCCCAGACCATCCATAAACCAGCACTGAGCACAGATCCCTGCGGACACCACGGATGTCTGGGGACACCACGGTGACCTGGGGACACCCCAGACCCCCCCGCCAGCCCTATCCTGCTCACGTCTGGCTGGGCTCTGCCTCGCTCTGCTGGGCAGCCCCGAAGCTCTGCATGGCCTGCACTTCCTCCTCCTCCTCATCCTCGCTCGAGGCCTCCTCGGCGGCGTGGGGCGAGCGCGGGGGCGGCGCGGCCGCCGTCCCGTCCGCCTTCTGCATCGACGGCTTCTGGCAGATGTACTTGGGGTCCCGGCCCAGGCTGCAGATCTCCTCCAGCAGCTGCAGAGAGGCTGGCATTTAGGAGAGGCCCAGACAGATTATCGGGGGCCCTGAACCCCCACAAGGATCCCCAGGTTGTCACCTTGATGATGGCAGTGGTGGCATCAGTCTTGAGCGTGGGCTGGTGCCGCATCAGCTCGTCCACGGCGCTGCCCAGGTTGGAGGCTGTGTCACCTGCAGGGAGAGAGAGTGTTTTTGGGGGACAGAGCAGGTTTTGGGGGGACAGAGCAGGTTTTGGGGGGAAAGAGCAAGTTTTGGGGGGGACAGAGCAGGTTCTGGGAGTTAAATGAATAGGGGGTGGTGCCTAAAATAACCACAAGCGCCTCCAAAAATAAGGAAATTATTTAAATGTTATGATGATGTTTTGCTAAAATCCTGGTAGGGTCCCCAGCGTCCCTGGTACCCCAGTGTCCCTGGTGTCCCTGGTATCCCTAGTACCCTCCATATCCCCAGTGTCCCCTGCTCACCCAGGGGGTCAGAGCTGTGGTGGCGGCGCATGGCAGGCTGGTAGTCAGGGGACAGCAGCACCTTGTGTGTCCCCAGTATCCCCAGTCCCCACAATGTCCCCAGTATCCCCAGTCCCCCCAGTGTCCCTGTCTCCCCTGTTCACCCACGGGGTGGGAGCTACAGTAGCAGTGCATGGTGAACAGGTAGTCAGGGGACAGCAGCACCTTGTGTGTCCCCAGTATCCCCAGTCCCCACAATGTCCCCAGTATCCCCAGTCCCCCCAGTGTCCCTGTCTCCCCTGTTTACCCACGGGGTGGGAGCTACAGTAGCAGTGCATGGTGAACAGGTAGTCGGGGGACAGCAGCACCTTGTGTGTCCCAGTATCCCCAGTCCCCCCAGTGTCCCTGTGTCCCCTGTTCACCCACAGGGTCGGAGCTGCAGTGGCAGCGCATGGTGAACAGGTAGTCGGGGGACAGCAGCACCTTGTGTGTCCCAGTATCCCCAGTCCCCCCAGTGTCCCCAGTCCCCGCAGTGTCCCCGTGTCCCCCGCTCACCCAGGGGGTCGGAGCTGCGGCGGCGGCGCATGGCGGGCAGGTAGTCGGGGGACAGCAGCACCTTGAAGAGGCGCTCGAAGGGCTGGCACTGCACGAAGCTCTGCAGCCCCCGCGCGTTCAGGCACAGCGCGCTGAACACGTTGGGCAGCGAGCCCAGCACCTCCCGCGTCGCCGGCACCTGCGCAGGTGAGGGGTTATGGCACACCTGGGGCAGGTGTGGGGCACACACAGGGCAGGACAGGGGCTGGGGGCACACCTGGGGCAGGTGTGGGGCACACACAGGGCAGGGGGCACACCTGGGGCAGGTGTGGCACCTGCATGGGCAGGTGGCAGCAGGCAGGGAGGCAGGTCTGGGGTGGAGCTGGGGCAGGTGTGGCACTAGCACAGGTGGCACACACAGGACAGGTGTGGAGACAAGCGATGCACAGGTGAGCAAACAAGTGAGAGACGACTTGGAGCAGGTGTAGGAGAGAAAATGGGACAAGTGCAAAGCAGGTGTGGGAACAAGTGAAGGGCAGGTGTGGCAACAGGCAGAGAAACAGGTGCAGGGCAGGTAATGGGACAGGTGTGGGGGACAGATGAGGGTACAGGTGTGAGGGATGGGAAATAGAACGGGGGGGGGAACAGCACTGGGGACAGGAAATGAAACAGGCACAGCGACACAACAATTGCAAAGCATGAAATGGAACAGGTACAGGGACACAACAAGTGCAGGACAGGAAATGAAGCAGCTGCAAAGATGGGTGAGGGGACACGTAAGACAACAGGTGCTGGGAAACACAAGGACAGAGATGAGGGAACAGGTGAGAGAACAGGTGACGGTACAAGCACACCAAGAGGAGATGGAGCAGGTGCATGAACAGGAAATGGAACAAGCAAGCGACAGGTGCAAGGCAGGTGTGGGAGGGCACAAGACATGGGACAGGTATGAGAACAGCACAGAGACAGCTGCTAAGACAGCGAGAGGACAAATGAGGTGACAAAGATGAGGACGTGTGCTGGATAGGTGAGGGACTACACCCACAGCCTCCATGAGCAACATGTACAGCATGACTTCAATGAGGCGATAAACAAAAGGACAGGTGAGGGAGCAGATCAAGGGGTACACAAGGGGACAGGTGTCAGGTGTAGGAAAGGTGACAGGTAAACCCCACTCACGTCCTTGATGAGCAGAGCGTGCAGCATGACGTCGGTGAGGCCGTTGTCCTGCAGCGAGGACAGCAGCGAGGGCTCCTGGAACACGAAGACCGTCACCACCTCGGTCGCTGCGGCGGAGGAGAGAGGGGGGCACTGAGGGCAGGTAGAGCACCTGGCGGGGTCCCCGCTCCGTGCCCGCCCCGCGCTGCCCGGGTGGGGCCGGGGCGTGGCTCACCCAGCAGGAACAGCGAGGGGCCGTAGTACTCGGCGTTGCTGATGATGTGCTTCAGCGAGGTGGGCAGTGAGCCGTCCATCACTGTGGGGACACGTGTGGTCAGTGCCACCACCCCTGCCACCCCCCTCCCCCGGGGGGGTTTGGGGACATCGGGGACCACCCACCGTGCCGGATGCCGTCGGAGAAGGCGGGGTCTTGGATGGCTTTTTTGAGGAAGTTCAGCATGGATTTGAGCAAAGCGGCGCGCTGGGGGATGCACTGCACTCCTGGGGGGGACACGGGGAGAGGATTGGGGGGCACACGAGGAAACTGAGGTATCCCCAGGGAGAGAGGTAGATAAGGAAAGGATTTGGAGTTTTCATATGGGGAGAATTAGGGTGTCCATATAGGGAAAGAATTGGGAGTATCCATGTAGGGAAAACTAGAGTGTCCATATAGGGAAGGATTTGGGGCCTTTATATGGGAGGAATTAGGGTGTCCTCATAAGGAAGGAACTGGGGTGTCCATGTAGCAGGAACTGGGGTGTCCACGTAGGGAAACAACCAGGATGGCCATACGCAAGAAATTAGGGTGTCCACATAGAGAAGAAATTGGGGTATCCGTATAGCGAAGGAATTGGGGTCCAGCCATGTCCCCACTGTCCCCAGCCCCTGGGGGCACCTACCGCCGCGTGGGGAGGGGGTGGCAGCGCTGGTGCTGGGCACGGCTGGCGGGGCTGGTGGCACCGGGTCTGGCCGGGCTTCAGCCGAGGGGCCGGGGCTGCTCTCCATGGCCACGTCGGTCACTGCAGGGGGACAGTGACATTGCAGGGGGAATGGGTGACACCACCGGGGGAACGGGTGACACCACGGAAGGGACACAGCCTCTGCTCACCCTCCATGTCCGTCTCCATGTCCTCGCCCTCGGGCAGGGTGGCAGCGGGCGGGCGCTGCACTTTGGGCTTGATGACAAAGGGACACTCACGGCGGCACAGGTCCACCTCGTGCTGGGGAGAACAGAGCCTCAGCACCCCAACCACCCCAGGGGACCCGAAACACCCCCGGGGCACCCCAAAAGTGGGTAAAGGAAAGGGGGGCAGCACCTCGAGGCGGTAGATGAAGATGGACAGCCCGCTGTGTGACTGAAAGGCGGCCATGTCCAGGTTGGTGATGAGATCCACCACCCGCACTGCCCGCGTGACAAATGTGATCTGGTCCTGCTCGTCCCCCAGGAACTTGATCACCTGGTGAGGGCACAGACAGCAGGTGAGGCAGTCCCCGAGGCACCTGAGAGCTGCCCACAGGTGAGAAGAGCTCACCTTGAGCAGCGCCTCCATCATGCCGCACGACACCAGCGCCTCGCCGCCCGCGTCGTAGCTGGCCAGGTGGTACAGGAAGGAGAAGAGCGCCGTGGCAAACTGGTGGGGGTAGGGCTCCATGGAAGGGTCTGGGGGTGCACAGGTGTGGTTAGGGCGGGTCACACCCCCCGGGTGACCCCCCCAGCCCCGGCACGCACCGATCATGGCCTGGATGCAGTTGCGCACCAGCACGGGCAGGAAGCCGTGGTAGGAGGCGGTGCCGGTGCAGTCGATGATGCTGCTGAGCTTCGGCGTGCGCTCCAGGTGCACGATGGACGTCAGCGTCCGCAGGGAGGCCGCCTTGATGTCCTGGCAGGGACACGGGAGGAACACGTGAGGGACACGGTGGGACAGGCAAGGGACATTCATGTCTTTGATGAGCAGCATAACGGCGAGGGAACATACAAGGGGAGAGGTGATGTGATAGATGAGGAAAAAGTGTGAGACAAGAGAGGGACAAGTGTAGGACAAGCAAAGGAAAAGCGTGGGACAGGCAAGGGACACGTGAGGGACAGGGGAGGGACACTCCTGTCTTTGATGAGCAGCACATGCAGCATGACACCGGTGAGGGGATACACAAGAAGACAGATGATGTGACAGGTGAAGGAACACATACAAGACGTGTGAAAAGACAAGAACAAGACAAGTGTAAGACAGGTACGGGACAGGTTAGGTGACACGCGTGGGTCAAGTGAGGTGACACATGCAGAAAAGGTGAGGTGACAGCTGCAGGACAGGTGAGCCACACTCACATCCTTGGTGAGCAGTGTGTACAGCACATCAGTGAGGGAACACAGGAAAGGACAGGTGAGAAGACACACAAGGGGACACAAAAGGGACAGGTGAGGGGATACACAAAGGGACACAAAAGGGACAGGTGAGGGGACAGGGCTCGGCCCCGGGGGTCCCTGGGCCTCACCATCAGCTGCTTGTCAGTGATCTGCAGCACGTCCACCAGCTCCTCGATCAGCCCGTTGTACAGGATGCTGTTGGCCGACTCCTGCAGCGCGTTGGAGTACACTGCAGAAAGAAGGGGTCACCCAAACTGCCCCAGCACCCCCCAAAAGCACCCCCCAACCACCCAAAAGCACCCCCCAATTAAAACAAGCCCTAACGAAGGCCCACCCAGGATGGAGATGGCGTGGAGCCGCGCCTGCACCGCTTGCAGCCGCTTCTTGTGGTTGGAGAAGCCGTGGGCCAGGCGGATGTGGGTGAACAGCAGCATCTGAGGGGGGGACAGAGGATTTGGGGTGGTCAGGGAGGGTCTGAGGATCACCCCACAACCCCTGGGGGTCCCCTGGATGTCACCCCACATACCTGCTTGTCCTTGGGGATGCTGTACATCTTGGTCAGGGACTCCATGATTTCCGAGGGGCTCTCTGAGATCTGGGGAAAGAAAAATTGGGAGGAGCAGATGCAAAATTGGGATGTAGGGGACAAAACTGGGGTGTGGACAGACAAGATTGGGTGCAGAGGAACAAAACTGGGGTGCAAGTGACAAAACGGGATTCAGAGAACAAAAGTGAGGTGCAGGGGACAAAACTGGCGTGCGGAAAAACAAAACTGGGCGGGAAAAAACAAAATTACTGGGACAGGGGACAAAACTGGAGAGCAGGGGACAAAACGGGGGGCAGGGTATAGAGGGACCCTGACCCAAGTACAGCCCCTCCCATCAAATCAAGGTGCCCCCACACTCACCTTGTCCAGCTGCTCGATGTGGATGTAGTGCAGGGTGGTGCTGGTGGCCTGGGGGGGGGGTCACAGGAGGTCAAGGGGTGGCCCCGGTGTTTTGGGGGCCTCCTCATGTCCCCAAATGTCCTCAGTATCACTCACCCTCTTGTCCACCTTCACCTCGACGCCCGGCTCGGCGTAGAACTCAAAGTGCAGGGTGGTGGCACTGGGGGGGTATTTCTGGGGGGGACACAGAGGGGTGAGATGGGGACAGCAGGGTCCCCTCCCCTGGGGTGACAGGGCCAGGCTGGGGGACACTGGAAAAGGGGTGAGGGGACCCTGGGATGCAATGGAAGGCAAGGGCCTCGGGACATGACAAAGGCACACAAAGTAATGTTGAGAAGAGATCATACGAACATGTGACAGAGAGACCCGTGAGGCACAGGTGAGTTCTGGGGACCCCCAGCACTGGACAAGGTTACACACATGAGCTTTGGGGACCCCAGACAGGACAAGGTGACACAGGTGAGCTTTGGGGAGCTTTGGGGACCCCAGACAGAACAAGGTGACACAGACGAGCTCTGGCAAATCCCAGGACAGGACAAGGTGACCCACACCAGCTCAGGTGACCCACAGGTGCCACTCACCATCATGTGCAGGTCCCGACAGCACTCAGCCAGCCCGAATCCATTCTCCTTTCCACCCCAGCTCTGCAGGGAGACCAGCCCAGCTCAGCCCCGTCCTGCTGAGCCCCCAAACCCCCCAAAACTCCCCCAAAACCCCACCCACCTCGGCCAGGTGCTGCAGGCGGGCCAGCAGGGGCCCGCGGCGCTCGGAGCCCAGGCGGGTGATGTAGTTGGAGCGTTTGCTGAACACGTAGAGCAGGTTGAGCACGGCCAGCACCACGTGCATGTCCGAGGAGGCCAGCAGCGTGGTCAGGTGCTGCGGGGACAGGACAGGTGTGTCAGCGTGTCACACGCCCGGGGACACGCAGAGGGCGGGTCTGGGGGCGTGCCCACCTCGATGGAGCTGTAGAGGTGGCGGGAGAAGCTGTACTCGATGAGCAGGGCCGTGAAGTTGAGCAGGGCCAGCAGCAGGGCCTTGAGGGGCTGGCGCTCGGGCCGGTCGCAGGCCAGCATCCAGCTCATGGCCTCCACCGGCCGGCCCGCCTCGGCCAGCAGCGCGTCGAAGCGGTCCAGCAGGTCCACCCAGTGGTACAGCTCGCACTGGGGAGGGGGTTAGGGGGGAGTGAGGGGCTGGGGGCACAGCCTCGACCCCAATCCAGAGCCCCAGGCATGGCCCAGACCCCAACCCAGACTCCCAGGCCCACCCAGTGGTACAGCTCGCACTGGGGAGGGGATTAGGGGGGGAATGAGGGGCTGGGGGCACAGCCTGGGGCCCCCTGAGCACCCTGGGTACAGCCCAGACCCCAGCTCAAACCCCACATCCACCCAGGAGAACAGCTCACACTGGGGTGGTTAGGGAGGGACGTGGGGCTGGGTGCACGGCGTGGCCCCCAACTCAGACCTCCAAGTATGGCCCAAACCCCAACCCAGACCCCCAGGTCCACCCAGTGGTACAGCTCGCGCTGGGGAGGAGGTTGTAGGGGGTGAGGGGCTGGGGGCACAGCATGGGACCCCCTGAACACCCTGGGTACAGCCCAGACCCCAACTCAAACCCCCACATCTACCCAGTGGTACAGCTCGCACTGGGGAGGGGGTTAGAGGGGGATGAGGGGCTGGGGGCACAGCCTCGACCCCAGTCCAGAGCCCCAGGTATGGTCTGAACCCCAGCCCAGACTCCCAGCTCCACCCAGTGGTACAGCTCACACTGAGGGGGGAGCTGGGGGGGACGTGGGGCTGGGGGCACAGCCCAGACCCCAGCCCAGCTCCCCACGAGCCCCCGTATCCCAGGGGGGACCCCCAGAACTCCAAGGAGGAACCCCAACATCCCAGCCCAGGCTGCCTAGGCTGCAGCTAAGCCCCCTCCTCAGCACAAGGCAAGAAAATGGAGTTTTGGAGGCTGAGAGAGAATTTGGATCCTCCCCAGACGTTTGGGGGGAAAAGTGAGGTACCCCCTTGTTTTGGGGTCTTTACAGTACACCCCTGTTGTTTTTAGGGATATTGGGGTTCCTCCTTGGGAGTTTTAGGAATCTGTAAAAAGAAATTTGCACCCAAACAGCTCCAAGGTGTGAGGAAATGGGGACCCTCCCCTTGGGCATTCTGGGGTGCCCCCCACCATTCAAGGGGAGCTGTGTGACACTGCAGACCCCCTCCTCAATTTTGGGGCTCCACATGGGGTCACAGCCCCTCCCCTGAGGCAATGGGAAATGAAGGCACTCCTGGGGGGCTGTGAGGACAATTATGACACCCCCAGTTTGAGGAAAGCTAAAAAGAAATAAGGGAGCCCCCTAACATTGGGGTGAACTGCAAGAAATGTAGAACCCCCCCATTTCTAAACCTCCAGAGAACCCCAGAACTGCCTCACCCAAGGGCTGAGTGCTCAAGGGGCTCAGCTGAAACCACAGACCCCCCTCTTCATTTGAGGAACACTCTGGGGTGCCCCCCACCCATTCTGGGGGTGCTCCAGGGTGACACCCCCCTGTGGCTGTCACCAGCTCAGGGACAAGCTCAGCACCACCCCGAAAAACCACGGACAATCTCTTGGGGAACTCCCACGTGTCTCAGCACCCCCCCAGCTTTTGGGGCCCTCCCCCAGGTTTTGGGGTCCCCTCCCACCTTCCCAATGTTCCATGTCTTGATCTGCTGCAGTTCTGTCACCAGCTGCTCATCGCTGCAGCCCTTCAGCTTCTCGATGAGGGCCCGGCAGTCGGCGGGCTGGGGGACACAGGGAACTCAGCACTGTCCCCTCGTGGTGTCCCCAACACGCCCCCAATGTCCCCAAACTTCCCCCTCATTCCCTTCCCAATGTCCTCATGCCCCCAAACATCTCCAACTCCCCCCTGATGCTGTACCCTCAACACTCCCTGAGCGTCCCCAAGACCCCTCTGATGTCCCCAAACCCTCCAAAATTCCCATCCCAATGCCCACATCCCCCCAAAATCTCCAATTCTCCGCCCAGAGTGACCCCCGCCACTGTAGTGTCCCCAAAATCACGGCCCCTGACACTCCCTGAATGTCCCCAACATCCCACAACGTCCCCAAACCCCCCTCATTCCCTTCCTAATGCCCCCACTCCCCCAAACACACCCGATTCTCCTCCCTGAGTGTCCCCAAGCCCTCACTGAAGATCCCCAACCCCTCACTCAATATCCCCAACCCCTCCCTGAATGTCCCCAAGACCTCACTGACTGCCCCAAACCCCTCCCTGAGTGTCCCCAAGCCCTCACTGAACATCCCTAACCCCTCACTGACTGCCCCAAACCCTTCCCTGAGCGTCCCCAACCCCTCCTGAGTGTCCCCAACCCCTCCTGAGCGTCCCCAAGCCCTCACCGCCTCCGTGGGGGTTTTCTTCAGTTTCGTCCGATCCACTTTCATTTTGGGGGTTCTGGTCCTCGTGCTCCGCCTGCGGCCACACGTGGGGGGAGGGAAAGGGGGGTTCACACCTGGGCCACCCCCCAGTGGGTCAAACCCCGCCCCCCGCCTGTCCCGACAGAGCCTCCCTGTCCCGACAATGCCCAGCTGTCCCGACAGGGCCCCGGGACGTGACCCCCCCACCACGGGCCAAACCCCCACCGCCCCGGGCTGTGGCGTGTCGTGACAGAGCCCGGCTGTCCCGACAGGGCCCCGCTGTCCCGACAGGGCCCCGCTGTCCCGACAGGGCCCCGCTGTCCCGACAGGGCCCCGCTGTCCCGACACAGCCTCGCTGTCCCGACAGGCGCCGCGGCGGCCGCGGCCCGATGACGTCGCGGCACCGGCTGAACAATGAATGTGCAAAACCCCGCCGTGCCCGGGGGGGTCGCCGGGAGCCCCCTCCCCAAACCGCGCTCCCTCCCCACCATTAACCCAGACGAGGGGCTGTAATTAAGGGCTGTAATTACGGGCGGTAATTAAGGGCTGAGGCTGCCGCGTGCCGGGGTTCCCCCGCCCCCCCCCCGGTG